AGCCCATTTCCCAGTCATCCCGCCTCTCCCAATTCCCAGATGCCCCTTTTTCCTTTATCCTGGGACCACCTGGACCCCCATTCCCAACCATCTGACATCTCCCCGCCCATGACTCCCCTTTCCTCAACCCTGGGGACCTTTGGGCCCCTTATCCTTGTCAGAGGGACCCCCTGGATCCCCCCATTCCACCTCTCCCAATCCCTGTATCCCCTTTTCCCTGACAATCAGATCTCAATCCCGTGCAGTGGGACCGCTGGCCCCCCCTCCCCCAGCACTGACACCCCCTGCACCAACTTCCCTGGGATCCCCAAACCCCCTTCCCGGCTCTCCCAGCTCTCCCAGTTCCCCCTTTCCTTGACCCATGACCCCTCTGGACCCCCCAAATCTCCGTGTCCCCCCAGTTCTCCACTCCCTGCGTTACCTGAATGTGGCGGTGACGGAGCCCAGCCCGGGGGTCCCTCAATTCCTGACCATGGGATACGTGGATGGGATCCCCATCACACGCTACGACAGCGAGCGGGGCCGGGCGGAGCCGCAGACGCCGTGGATGGCGGCTGGACCTGAGCCGGAATATTGGGATGAGGAGACCCAGATCAATGAGAGGAACCGGCTCGTGGATGCTGCTGACCTGGAGATACTGCAGGACCGGTATAACTGGAGTGGGGGTGAGTGGGGGGAGCTGGGGAATGGGGGGATGTGTGGGGCTGGGATGGGATGTGTGGGGCTGGGATGGGATGTGTGGGGGTGGGGATGTGGATCCAGGGCACTCCAAGGGGCTGGAATGGGATCTGTGGGTCTCTATTTGGCTCTGGGGCTTCATAGGGCTGGAATGGGGTTCTGTGGGGCTGGGACACAATTCCAGAGGTCTCTCTGGGTCTGATCCCGCCCCCCAGGTCTCCACACGTGGCAGCGGTTTTATGGCTGTGACCTCCTGTCCGATGGGAGCGTCCGCAGAACCCTTCGACTTGGCTATGACGGGCAGGATTTCATCTCCTTCTCCCCGGAGAGCAGGACCTTCGTGGCGGCCGATGGAGCTGCCCAGATCACCCAGAGGAAATGGAAATCTGAAGGGTACGAGGATCTTCAACAAGACCTTGGACTGAGATGTGCGGAATGGCTCCAGAAATATGTTGGATATGGGCGGGAGGCGCTGGAGCACAAAGGTGAGGGAGACAGAATTCCCATGGGAATGTGGGATTTGGGAATGTGGGATTTTGGGAAGGTGATACTGAGGAACATGGGAATTCCTGTGGGAATTCCGTGGATGAATCTGAGTCATCCAACTCCCATGGGAATTCCATGGATGGATCCCACTGTTGTTTCATTCCAATGGGAATTCTGTGGATGGATCTCACTGTGGTCCCATTCCCATGGGATTTTCATGGATGGATCTCACTATTATCCCACTCCAGAGCCTCCTGATGTCCACGTGTCCGGGAAAGAGGAACACGGGATCCTGACGTTGTCCTGCCACGCGTACGGATTCTACCCCGGGATCATCGGGATCAACTGGATGAAGGGGGATGAAATCCGGGATCAGGAGACGGAGTGGGGCGGGATCGTTCCCAACAGCGACGGCACCTTCCACAGCTGGGCCAGGATCGAG